CTCTGCAGCATATTAATACATGGTGGTAACAGAAAATATTGGAAATGGGATTCGTGTATTCCTCTAATTTTTATTGAATCAGGTTTTCATAATTATGCAAGGCACTCACACTAGGCAAGTTACAGTCACTTTTTGGGAATACTATCAAAAAAATCCATGATTAAAGAAACAAATAAATATAAAAACTGCTGCCTATATATCTACTGATTAAAAATATGAGATGGTGATCAGTATTTTCTCTTCTTAGTCTTGAGCATTTTATTGTTATTCCTACAAAATCTAACAAATCCTTTCAGGGGTGAGTTGGGAATTTTTGATCATAATGAAGAAAAGTAAGTCAAGTGTTACAGAAAAAGAGCAAATTTTCCCCTATGAAAACTAAACTTACTGACTCGCTGATTCCGTCTGAGAGGAAAAAGGAGCAGAGCTATAAACCTCGTGGAAAAAGGGCTCAGATAGTGGAGAGGATGGAGTTAGTGCATTTCAAGAGGAAGTAACTGAGATCTCAGGGTACTTTTGGGGTGCCTCCTCTTTTTTTAATATTTTTTTAATTTGACAGGCAGAGTTAGACAGTGATAGAGACAGAGAGAAAGGTCTTCCTTCCATTGGTTCACCCCACAAATGGCCGCTATGGCCAGCACGCTGCGCCGATCCGAAGCCAGGAGCCAGGCGCTTCCTCCTGGTCTCCTATGTGGGTGCAGGGCCCAAGCACTTGGGCCATCCTCCACTGCCTTCCCGGGCCACAGCAGAGAGCTGGACTGGAAGAGGAGCAACCAGGACAGAACCGGCGCCCCAACCGGGACTAGAACCCGGGGTAGTGGCGCCACAGGTGGAGGATTAGCCTAGTGAGCCTAGTGGGCTGCGGCGCCGGCCAGAAGTGCCTCCTCTTAATTAAAGGAGAAAAAGGTGCAGGGAATCTCAAGGCTGTTAAATTCAGAAAAGAAACAGACCCACCCTTTCTTCCTTTCTTCTCCCTTCCCCCTTTCTTTCCTTCCTTCATTCCTTGCTTAACAAAACACTGATTAGCTCAAGATTGTTTACAGATCTCTCCCCTAATTTCTTCCTTTTCAGGGTTAATATGTCAAACCAATTTATTATTCTCTCAAAATACTTAAACATTTTTATTATTCTGCTTTTGACCCCTCAGCAGTTTTTCCATAAACTTTACGTTTTGAGGATGTGAAGATGGCCAAATAATTTAAGAAGTGAGCTCCTGGCAGTGAGAGTGTTGGGTGGTGAACAGCCATCCAGAGTCGCTCCTGTTGGGGGTTTGCTGATCCTTTCATAAGGAGGGAAGTCATCCTAGGAAGGCTTCCACAGGGGTAACACTGAAGGTTCCATCTCTGAACATGCCTTACCTATACAGGTTCATGATCTAAATGTAAAATAAATTATGCCTGTCAACACATTGTTTGATCTGATGATCTGGATTGAAAAATAAATATATAGTACCTAGACTTTTTAATGAAATATTTGTGGGCATGGTGGCTCATTAGAAAAATAAACCAAAAATTAAAATATATTTGGATAATAAATATTAACAGGACTGTTGGTCTATTTATTACAAAAGAGTTAGCAGTATGTCAGTGTTATTTCATATTTGAAATGATTCTCTCACGATCTATGCTATTGCTCATGTGATTATGTGAGAAGGAGGTGAAGCATTTCAGAGTTGTGAGCTCTAAGAAATGATTCTTGGGATTGGTGTTTGTCACAGTGGTTAAAACACTGCTTGGGATGCCCACAGAACATATCAGAGTTCCTGGGTTCAAGTCCAAGCTCTTCCTTCAGTTCCAGCTTTGTGCTTATGTGCACCCTGGGGGGCAGCAGATGATGGTTCATGTACTTGGGTCCCTACCAAAAACATGGGAGACCCAGGTTGAGTTCCTAGCTCCTGACTTTGGCCTGAACCAGCCATAGCTGTTGTGAGCATTTGAGGAGTGAGCCAGGAGAGGGAAGGTCTATCTGTCTTTGTCTCTCCCTCTCTCCCTGCCTTTCAAAAAAAATACAATTTTTAAAAAAGAAATTAAGAGAATTGATTCTTCATACCATACTCCTACTGCAGATTTCTTTTGGGTTTCTCTATCTTGGGCAGTGTGAATATTGTCAGGAGAGTTTAAAAAAAACATAAAAGCAAGCAGAATGTGATATCTTTCTCTCCTTTTATATTAGCTTGTCTTGATGCCAAACAAAAACAGGTATTTTCTCATGTGCAGGGAGGCCAGGGAGAGAAATTACAGTTGGGCTGGAAGCTGCTCTACATTCGGATACTTCTGCCGTCCAGGATGGCATTTCTGGTCTCAAGCTGCATCTTTATGTAGACCTGATAAAGAAGGCACTGAGAAAACTTTCTCAGGATTTATTTAACTATAATCTGTTTAATGTCTTGTTCCTAAGTAGGGTAACTACAAAGATACTCCATAAACAATCACCGGAACCTTCCCTAGGCTGCGAGGGCCTGATTGGCAGATGCTTCCACCTACAATAGCGTCCTGACACTAAGACTAGAAAGGTGGCTTCATTGGAGGCAGGGGCCCACTCCTGAGGTCAGCTTCGCAGAAAGTTGTACATGAAGTAGCTATCATGGAATGCTTTTACACCTCGACTTAACACAGGAATAATGGCTCCCAGGAATTAATGTAATTACCATTTGGCTGGGGATCAGTTAATAAAGATAATGCTCAGTCTTTTTTTCTGGCATGGATTTCCAAAAGTTTGGAAGTGAAAACAAGAGAGCAAGTTGAGGTTTTATTATAAATTTTCTCACTTGTCTCATTAAAATGTTCCACTGAATTTATTTTTAGAGGATTTTTTTTTTTTTTTGGTGGGGGTGGATGGAAGGCAGGGGCTGTTAACCTAAATCTCACAAATCCTAGAACATATTTGACTGGAACAGTTGAATGTCAGGCTTTACATTGTAGTAAATCCATTTTTTGTCTTTCAGGAGAACCTGGTTAATTTCATACTAACCAGCTACACATAGACATTTTTTTTTTTTTTTTTTTGACAGGCAGAGTGGACAGTGAGAGAGAGAGAGAGAGAAAGGTCTTCCTTTTGCCGTTGGTTCACCCTCCAATGGCCGCCGCGGCCAGCGCACTGCGGCCGGTGCACCGCGCTGATCCGATGGCAGGAGCCAGGAGCCAGGTGCTTTTCCTGGTCTCCCATGGGGTGCAGGGCCCAAGCACTTGGGCCATCCTCCACTGCACTCCCTGGCCACAGCAGAGAGCTGGCCTGGAAGAGGGGCAACCGGGACAGAATCCGGCGCCTCTACCGGGACTAGAACCCGGTGTGCCAGCGCCGCTAGGCGGAGGATTAGCCTATTGAGCCACGGCGCCGGCCTACACATAGACATTTTATAAATACTTTTGGTAAGGTTTTGGTGCATTTTACACATTTTGATTTTTGCTATAAGTTTGATTTTTTTAAATAAAGTACATACTTATTATAGAAAAAGAAAACATACTTAATCAACAAAGAAAATAAAAGTTACTGGTGATCCTATTAGTAAAACAACTGTTAACATTTTTGTTGCGTATCTTGCCAACCCTTTTTTTCCTTGTTAATGTGTCACTATGAAAAATTTTTAAAGGAAAAGTATATCATCCCACACATAGTCCTTTGTAACTCTTTTCTATGTGATAAACATAGCCATTTTCATGTTATTAGATATTCTGGGACATAACTTTATTGACTGTAAACTAGTCAATGATGGGATCTTAATGAAGCAATTTAGTTGTTTGCACTGTTTCTTTCCATTCCTTTACATTTATAAGATATAGACCTCATCCCTTTGTACAAGTCAGACGGTTATAATTTTTATTTTTAACACAAGGCTGTTGAAGATATTTGAATGAGAAAATTTTGAGCAAAGTATTGGATCATTTTCAAGGATGGATCACGTTGTTAAGCCTATTAGTTAACTAATTTGTCCAAGTGACCCTGGGTCCATCCCCTGGATTCCCCTTGAGGGAATTAGTGAACATTTGAGAGAAAAATGAAAACAGACACCTTTAGAAATGACATTGATAGGAAGGACTATAAATAGTTCTTCCCCCAGGAATGCATAGTATAAAGAGAAGACAAGTTGAACATAAGCTCCTGGATGATAGACTCACGTTACATTTAAAGCTGGAATCACTCTGAGACTCTGAAATACCAGGAAGTAGTTGAAACTCATATTTTAAAAATCAGAAGTCAGCATTAAAAAGAAAAATTTACTTGTGAATAAGTACACAGTCAGTTACAATGGAGTTTATAATTTATTGAAGTATTACTGGAACAAAATAGACTTTATAGTGAAGAAAATTTTCTTTTGTGAGAGCCAGGAACGAACTTCTCGAGAGTTTTTGAAAAGTTTACATCAGAGAATGTTGTCATCTCCAAGGAGGCTCCATGGTCAATGGTGCTTGTCTAGTGGGTTGATGAAGAAGCATCCAGCAAGCCTAGGGAGTATTGGAATTGGTCAGCAGAGGAGGCAGTGGCTACACAACTAGTCCTCAAGGAAGAAACCAATGCCTAAGGAAAACGGAGGGAGGGAGGGCAGATAGGGAGCAAAGGAAGAATCCAAATACAGGTAGTGGCAAAAGAAAGAAAGAGAAAAGGCATTAAGGAGGGGCCGTAAATGAACAAGGAAGAGCTAAGAGGTTGTCCAGGCAGGCAGAAGAAGCAAGTATTTCTTTCCCCAAGTCTACAGGAATCAGACAAGTCCTAAACATGAGCAGTGTTACAGCATTGTTTTCCCCATTCTGATGTGTTGCCAACATGTTTTTAGGCAAAAATGGGAAAATAAAGGATCCAGTGTTTCATCCTCGACTTGTTGGAATGCCATATTGACTCGAATAGGACATTCTGGAGCTGCATCCAGTTGTAGCAATCATAGCTCCAGCAAATAAAGTAGTCTAGGATTAGCAACACACACTTGCAAACCCAGAAATCTAACCGCACATTTCCTTCCTCGCTTCCTTCCTTGCTGGTGGTGGTTGCTTTCTGTTCTCTTGCAGAGTTCTATTGGAAGGGTGCTGTCTTTTGTTTTTCACAGAATGTTGATCCAGGTGTGCCTGTATTTTTACTGTAAATTTTTGTGGCGCTGCCTGAAATTTGTAATGAGGAAGCTGACTGGAAGATGTGAACTGCAGCGGATCTGTTACAGCACCAAACCTGGAGCTTCCAGAACCATGAAAATTGGTAAGCATGAAATACACAAGGAAGCAAATGGTAGAAACAGTGGAATTGGGGATGCAGTGTTATTATTTGGGTGCAGTCGTTTAAAACCATTTGCAAAGGATAATTTTTAATGACTTTTTGTTACTCTTTTTACAGAAACATCACTGAGGGATTCAAAAAGTAAGGTAAGTAAAATTGTTTCTTTTTCAGCAACTTTTTGCTTGGAGGCTTACTTCTAGTATAAAAAGCGAAAAAAAAAGAAAAACAGAAATAAATGGTTGGCTATGAAAATTTATGCAAACAGAATTGTTTGCCTCTTACAAACTACTACACTTTCTACATGAGGGCAGCCACTGTATGGGACTTTCTAGTCAGATTTGTGAAATGCTCTGACTTCGTTGCTGAATTACCCCTTTTTTATACCTCTTCCCAAGTCATAAACATTCCATGAAAATAGGAGCAGCGTCAGCTCTCTAGTATTTTCTCAGTAGCCAGATCATCTCACTTTATACCCAAGATGTTGTAACACAATCACAGAAGCTGCTGTGCCAGCTTTTACAGCGTGTAGCTGAGCATCCACGTACCCTAGTAGTTTTTCAAGATTCTTGATCATTTTATTTTATTATTTAATTCAGGCATCCTTAAGAGTGTATCCCCCTGGGCTTTCACTCTTAAGTGGTAGGCACAAAGCCCATCAACAATGGAGACTATGTTAGGTGAGGAAAAGAAAACATAACATTTCCGTATTCTGATAAGTAGCTTGAAACAGGTAAAAATGGTCTGAAAAACAACTTGTGTATTTCTGCTTTATGTTAATTACCTTGATCAGGAAAATTGCACTATCGCAATTATGAAGGTTTCAAAGTTCTTAGAATTCAAATACACTAGATCCGTGTTTGCTTGTAGCTTATATCTTCATGCAGAAGCTTAAACAATACCGGAAGCCCCCTCCTAGGTAGGCACTGATTAAGTCCCTGGTGGTGATGAAAAGGAACTGACTGAAACATGTTTTCCAGCTGTTGCAGACATCAGTGAGTGTTCACCCTGATGCTATTGAAAAAACTATAGAAGACATCATGGAACTGAAAAAAATTAACCCTGACATAAATCCACAGTAAGAATGTTTCTTGTCTGGGAAATTTAGAACACATCACATAGCCACATAATTAGTTTTCTCCCTCCCTCCCCTTCCTCTCTCCCTTTCTTCTTTCTTGCTTCTTCTCTTCCTAAAATAGTCATTTGCAATGTTTTAATTTGCAGTTGAAGAATAAAGAAAAAAAAGGTCTCTTTTCTTGCTTGTAACTGGCAGCCACTTTCTGTTCCTCCTGTGGTGTATGCTTGTGCTTCTGAAATGCAGTGAATGTAAGAAATGTGGCAGAGGCCCCTGATACCAGCAGATGAGATAAAGGAAGCCCATTCCTCATCAGTCACTCTATGCGATGCCTGTTTTCACATTAGCAGTAAATGCTCAAATCATGAATGCGCCTGGGCTGATTTAACTCCAACTAGAATATTCTTCAGTTACTTCATGAATATTCCTTCTTGACAGGCTGGTAATCTCAGAGACAGTTCCTACCTGCTTGTCAAAAAGACAGGCGTGCGTGGGAGGGAGAGATGAGGAGTTTTTTCATGAAGACTTTAGAACTTTATAATTTATTCCTCTTGGAAGTATTAAAATGCATTTGGCAATTTTCGTGACATTTAAAATTAGCTCTATATTTTCCAATGAGAACAGCAATTTTTTAGTAAAATTTTGGGTTAAAGACATTGGGTAGAATAAACTTCAAATGCAGATATATTTAGAGACAGTTTTAGGTTGGGAACAGTCAAACTGTCTTTTAGTTGTGCATAGAGAACTTCAGCTGTTCCCACGGAGAAGAGCTTTTCATTCCCAGAGACAGGGAGCTGTGGCTGGAAGGAATTTCTGGACACATTCTGCATATGTTGGGGGAATCTAGGTACAGCTATCCAGGGGCTCATCACAAAAACACCTGGTCCCTATGGCATTCATCCGCAGCTGCTCCAGCTAATTAGTTGCCTTTTCCTTATTCAGCCATGAAGTGTTGGTTTAATTTTGTAGAGAAGGTATTTTTGAAATCTTCTGACATATATTTCATCCCTGTGGGGAGGTGATAAGGAAGCAATTCATTCTAAATTAGGTTGAACCAAAAATTTAAGACTACAGCTGGGCATGAGGGATCTATTAGTCTTATAATTTTATTTAGAGATTAGATTAAATAGCAAATTTTTTGAGGTCTGTTCTATGAAAGTTATAAAAGTTGCACTCAAAGCATTTCTTTTCCATTCATTCTTGATTTTCTTTTTAAAGTAAAAATAGCCTTATAGATAATAGGTTTTTTTTAACATCCCAATGTGGACTCTGCTGACTCGTTTTCAGTATTAGCAAATTCTGATATAAAATATGCTATACTTTTTTTAAAAAAAGATTTATTTATTTATTTGAAAGTCAGAGTTACACAGAGAGAGTAGGAGAGGCAGAAGGAGAGAGAGGTCTTCTATCCGCTGGTTCACTCCCCAGTTGGCTGCAATGGCTGAAGCTGCACCAATCCGAAGCAAGGAGACAGGAGCTTCCTCTGGGTCTCCCACCCAGGTGCAGGGGGCCAAGGACTTAAACCATTTTCTATTGCTTTCCCAGGCCATAACAGAGAGCTGGATCAGAAGTGAAGCAGCCGGGACTTGAACCAGCACCCTTATGGGGTTCTGGCACTGCAGGCAGTAGCCTTACCCACTACGCCAGAGCGCTGGCCCCAAAAATGATATACTTCTTTTTTTTTTTTTTTTCCTTTTTTGACAGGCAGAGTGGACAGTGAGAGAGAGAGACAGAGAGAGAAAGGTCTTCCCTTGCTGCTGGTTCACCCTCCAATGGCCACCGCGGCCGGCGTGCTGCGGCCGGCGCACAGCGCTGATCTGAAGGCAGGAGGAGCCAGGCACCTCTCCCGATCTCCCATGGGGTGCAGGGCCCAAGCACTTGGGCCTTCCCCCACTGCACTCCCTGGCCACAGCAGAGAGCTGGCCTGGAAGAGGGGCAACCAGGACAGAATCCGGTGCCCCGACCAGGACTAGAACCCGGTGTGCCGGTGCTGCAAGGTGGAGGATTAGCCTATTGAGCCGCAGCACCAGCCCAAAAATGATATACTTCTATGAGGAAACAAAGAAATAGGTGGCTAAGGATGGGGAAAATATAGCTTACTCAGTTATTACTACTATTAATCTCATTTTATTTTAAATATATTTCTTAAATGCTGCTGATGGTGATACTAAAATTTACTGTAGAAAAGATTTAATTGACTTTTTTTGTTCCTTCCTTTTATTTCTCCATTCTCTTCTTTCCCTCAAGATTAACTCTCTTCTCAATCCTACATTGGTTTTTTGGGTGACCAGTGCCATTGTGACCTTTGCTAAACTTAAATATTAGATTTAGTTTTTTTTTGGTGCTTTGGCAACAAGTAATTATAAGACATTTAATGGCACATAAAATTTATTTAAGGTCAGTATTCCTGAGCTGTCTGACACTGCCCTCTGTTTTTGTAGTATGTATCCAGTCCTGAGACCTGTTGCCCCCAAGTCTGGATTTAAATTCAGTGATTTTTTTTTACCCTCAAAGAAGAAGATGACAAGGTCATTGTCATTGTGGTTATAATGGTCACAGCAGAAATGTTCCAAGTGAATGAACTAGGAAGAATAATATGTTGGACAGTATCATATGACATTTCCAATGTTCAGTCACAACCACACACACAAAAAACATGGCTGTAAAGAATTTAGCAAGGATAAATAAACATGAAGTAATGTCTTTAGATTTTAAAATACCATCAGATGAGTACAGAATAGAATATTTTATATGACAATAATTTATATGAAAAAAGAATCTTGATGATCAGTCACCTGGTTAAAAGACTTGACATGTTACATTGCTGCTTAGAAAGATCCTATTTTACCTTGTAAGTTATAAGAGGAGAAAATGGCAATCTGATTACAAAAGTGTGGGCCTCTGGGTGCTTTGCTAGCTAGACTGTGTTCTGGTCTGGGGATGTGTATTTAGGGGCTGTTAGGGGCATAATATGCGTTCAGAGCAGACTGAGCCGCGTATCAGAGCATCTGGGAAGCTTTCCCACAAGAGGGCATTGAAAGCATGAATGATTTCCCACACCAACCCTGCCCTTGCCCGCACCAACCTCTGGAGATAGGACCAGAAGAAGGAATCACTATCTTAAAATATACAGGCACGACCGAGCAAGGCGGAACTAAACGTGCTCAGAGGACAGAATTGGAAGCACTTGAAAACAGGCCAGGCGGATTTTGTTTCAGCCCAAGACAAAGTGTTGAGGGTGTGGTGGGAAAGGACACAGTGGGGACTCTGCAACAGCTGTGGGCTCTCTTGGCACCGCCTAAGCTGTTGGGGAGATGCATAAGTACAGGGGGTTTTGTTTAGTTTCATCTCATTTCATTTTGAAATGTTTCCTTCCCTGAAGCCCCTGAGCTTAAGATGGATCTCTCTCTCTCTCACTCCCTCTTCCCCTCCCCCTCTCCTTCTCCCCCTCCCCTTCTCCCTCTCTCCCCCTCCCTCTCCCCCTTCCTCCTTCCCTCCCTCCCTCTCCCTTCTTCTCTCTCCCTCCCTCTGTCTCCCTTCTCTCTCCCTCTCTCTCCCTTTCTCTCTCTGCCTCTCCCTCTCTCTCTCCCTCTCCCTCCCTCCTCCCCTCCCCCTGTGTCCCTCTTTCCCCTCTTCCTCTCTCATTCTCTCCCTCTCTCTCTCTCTGCCCCTCTCCCTCCCTCTCTTCCTCTGTCTCCCTCTTCTCCTTCCTCCTTCCCTCCCTCCCTGCCCCTCTTCCTCCCCCACTCACCCTCTTGAGCACACCCTTCCGAAGTGATTCTGATGTACCCATCTAGGGGGCCTACATCATCCCTAGGAACTCATTACTACCTGTATTCCCTACATCTTCCTTTCAAGTCAGCCATGTAAAGAAATCCCTTGTGTTTTTTTTTTTTTTTAAGCCACACGTTTGCAGTTTACCTTAAGATAAAACCAGGATTAGAGGTCAGTCTTAGCAAGGTTGTACTACTGTCTATGTGGAATTCCAGTAACAATTGTACTTCTATTACATAGATCACTTTGAGCCATTTCGTGAATATTATCTACATATGAAAAATTCCATCATGTATACATCAAAGAAACAAATGCCAAAAGCACGTGTTTTGTTCTTCCTTCTGTGTGTTTCTCTTGTTTTTGAACACCTTAGGCTGGGAATCTCGCTTCAGGCTTGCCTTCTGCAAATCGTTGGGTACAGAAACCTCATTGCAGATGTGGAAAAACTGCGCAGAGAGCCCTATGATTCTGATAATCCCCAACATGAAGAACTACTTTTGAAGGTTAGTTCTTGAACAGTTTCAGTCCTTAATTCAAGTCAGATGGTGTTTGCTAAGGGCCTGCCTTGTGCCGGGCACTTCTCTGGATATCGGAGGTTCAAAGATTAAGAAGCCGTGTGTGCTGTACCTGGTTGGGAAGGCTGGGTTTTCCTGCTGGTTCAGGTGTTGGAGGTAAGTTTTCTATCAGAAAATTCATGTGAGAAGTTCAGAGGCAATTTTCGTTTGTCAGCTGAGAAAGCGTCAGAGGTGATAGCTGTGGGCTCTCACATTTGGCTCCAGTTTAGGTGGTTTCACATATGTGGAAAGTCAATAGGAGAAACAGCACTTGTCAGAGGGTCCTGTGATCTTCATTATGACATTTCGAAGAAGATGAAGTTGATTTCTGCTTCAGATGTCTTGGGAGATGACCCAAGATCCTAATGCTGACTGTTTGTTCATGTCACTTAGAGAGTATTAGAAGAGGAGGTAAAGACGTTTCAGAACTGTTGGAAAAATAGTATGTTCTTGGCTGTCAAAAAAACCTTAAAATTTTTATTGGATCTTATGGTGTATTAAGAAACATCAATACAATTTTTCTTCAAAGTGTTGAATTTTCAGTTAAAGAAGTTAATATAAAAAAAACCTAGGGCCAGCCTTTAGAACAGTAGCAAAATTGGAAGAAAACATTTGTTGAGCTGCCTTAACTTTATTTTATTGAAGAATGTCAATAGAAGGCATACTTGTTAAATGTATCCTGTTGTATTTTTGTATGTGTAAATACTGAAGCAGGTGACTCATCTGTCTCTGCTAATTCATGCTGGATCTGATACAGATCATTAAAAATTAAAGAAGCCTCATTCTTCGCGATACTATTTTTCTTTCTCTAATTGTAATTTTATTTTACCTACCACTGAGTTCCCGCTTCACTTCTTGTCCTTTTTTTCCTTGACCATTTTCTGATGGAAGTATTCAAGGTCAACAAAACAAAGTATGGTAGGAAATAACAGGTGAATGAAAAGGAAAAAAGTAATATAATTAGCAGACTGGTCAGAAGCACCTGAGATGCCCTCAGAATCAATGAATGACGTATGCACCATCTTTAGCTGATCTAATGTATGTTTGCTGACACAAGGTTGATTTTCAACAAATGTGGGTGGATGCATTGAATTACTGTGGTTCATTAGCTACATGTAAGAATATTTAGGATACGATGTTTTAAATTTTATTTAATTAGCATATAATACTTGTACATATTTATGGGGTACAAAATGATAATTTGGTACCTGTATAAAATATGCAATGATCAAATCAGAGTAATTAGTATTTCCGTTTTTTCAAATACTATCATTTCTGTGTGCCAGGAATCTTCAAACCCTTCTACTTTAGTTATTTTGAAATGTGTAGTTAACTGTTGTAGCCTATAGTTGCCTTGTGGGGCTATGTAATCCTAGAACTGCTCCCCCGTCTCACTGGGTTTTGGTATCCATTATCCACCCTCTCTCTGTTCCCTCCCCAATCCCTACTGCCTCCTTGTGTCCTCTATTCTGCTCTCTACTTTTGTATGATCAAAATTTTTTTATGTTCCACAAATGAATAAGAACATGCATTGTCTGTCTTTCTGTGTCTGACTTATTTAAACTAATGTACTCCAGTTCCATTTAGTTGCCACAGATGACAGGATTTAATCATTTTTATGTCTGAGTAATATTCCAAAGTATATAAAAACCACATTTTCTTTTCTATGTATGATTTTTATCTATGGTTATTCTTTGAGTATGCCTGTGTTATCATTTGGGTTAATTAAACAAGGTAGTAATTATTGTCTTTATTTTAGAAGAAAGCTATAAACCTTTTATTCCAAGCTCTGATTCATACAACTACTAAATTATGAAACCAGGACTGTCCACTACTGTGTTAGGCACTTTGAGACAAAGCATCTTTTCTGTCCTCACATAAATTTCAATCTAATTGGGATATATTCTACATCTATAGAAATCACTAAATCATATCCACAAAGCACCCTCAAAATATCTCCCAAATGTATTCCATGCCCACTGCCTTATGTAGCCATCATCTTCAACTTGGGATATTACAGCCTTTTAATTCTGCCACTAAGCCTTAGATAACTTTTTTCTTCCATCTTCCAAAATACTGCTGGAGAGATTTTTCTAAAATATAGGTCTGTGATTCCATAGATTAAAGAATTCAGGCTCCCCAGGTCCATCATGGAAAGTCTGTGCATTCTCCCATGGCATTTTGGATGCTTTCCAGTATTCACTGTTTCTCTAAGCTGCATCTCTTGCATCCACTTCATATACAGCACATTTGCTATTCACCATGAGCCAGAATAGGCCATGCCATGCTCTTTTTTTTTCCTATTTATTTTTTATGTTTTTGACAGGCAGAGTGGACAGTGAGAGAAAGACAGAGAGATAGGTCTTCCTTTTGCCGTTGGTTCACCCTCCAATGGCCACCGCGGCCGGCACGGTCGTACCACGCTGATCCGATGGCAGGAGCCAGGTGCTTCTCCTGGTCTCCCATGGGGTGCAGGGCCCAAGCACTTGGGCCATCCTCCACTGCACTCCCTGGCCACAGCAGAGAGCTGGCCTGGAAGAGGGGCAACCGGGACAGAATCCGGCGCCCGGACCGGGACTAGAACCCGGTGTGCTGGCACCGCAAGGCAGAGGATTAGCCTAGTGAGCCGCAGCGCTGGCCCAGGAATTTGCTCTTAGTGTTCCCTCTGCTACCCACTATTCTCACAGCGGAAGCCAGCTCATTTTTAAAATCCTTATTGAATTTTAACATCTTCACTAGCCTACCCAAGCTAACTTAGGAGGGAGATCTTTATTCTCCTCTTCAATTTATTCAAATTTCAAGTGTAATTATAAGAAAATCAGTAATAGAAAATATCTACTTAGTGTTTAATATGTACCAACTTTTACACTAAGTGTTTTATAGCATTATTTCATTCAGTTGGTCCAACTACCTTGTGGCACTGGTACTATTTCCATTTTTCAGATGAGGAAACAGACTGAGCAAGTAAGTGACTGCAAGCTCACATAGTTAGAAAGGGCTCTTAACCTACTACACAACACCGTGTCTCAGGAGAGAACCATGTGTTGTTCACATTTGGTTCCCAGAGGCTGACTATTGGTTTGTGTTTGACTGCCTGAGTTTAGGCACTTTGGTATTTTAAATGAGTATTAACCCCTTTGATTCCCTACTACCCAAAATTTTGTGGAGCAAGAGTCAGCAAACCAAGACCTGTGGGCCCGATTTGGCCTGCCACTCATTTTTACAAGTAATGTTTTATTGGAACACAGCCACATACACTCATTTTCATGGATACTTCAAAATGTTCACAGGAAAATATAATTAAAAGATTGGGGGGTGGGGCTGGTGTTTTTTAGTCTTGCAAACTAAGCATTCTCCTAATGAGTGGGATTTGTAACCTATCTACAGAAAGGAAATGCTTGCTTTTGACAGTCTTTACCCAACTCACTGGATGATACCAAAGTTTTTTAATTGTGGAGGACCCTGGGATTACTTAAAATCATTTTTTTTAATTATTTTTCATTGTGGCAGTAACCAAATCAGTGCCTGGAGGATGTTTTGAACTTTTTCTGACTGATCACATGTCTTTCACTAGTCTCTTCCATGAACTCACACATTTTCTGTTTGAATGCAGGGCACTGGCAAACTCTTGTCTAGATTATATAAAAAGGGATATTTTATACTCAGGTTTTATATTTTGCTTTCAAGCATGATTTACCTTCATTCCTCTGAAGTCTTTTTCACTCATCCTTTGATAAAGTAAATCCATCTGTGTGACACTAACATAAAATACTATGTAATGTGAGTAATAAGTGATTTTTAGATTAGTGTTGAAATTAATACTAAAATAGTATGAATTACAACTTTTTATTTGTTACTATTTTCTGTTATTGAATATTATGTTTTATAATGTGTCAGATTTGTGACAGTTCATTCTAAAGCAACGTAATTAATGTTCTGCTTTACTTTAAAATCTATAGAACAGCAATTTATAAATTTACTTCTAAAATAATAGTAAGATTTGACACTTATATTTGTACCCTATCTATAATAAAGATAAAATATTAAATATTAACAGTCCAAAAAGTTTGCTTACATGTCTATCTCTGTTAGTAAGAGCTCTGTAGTTTGACCATTACATCTTTATACAACTGTACATCTCAATTTCTGTCTCCTCTTTAGTAATAAATGCAGTATCTTTCTTTCTACAGAAAACTTAGGAAAGTAGAACCAGTTTGTTATGCAGTAAAGAGCATAATATTTTGAATTTGTATTTGTCAATATATAGTTGATTTTAATTGAAATTCTTTTACTCAACTCTTTAAGATGATAATGTATGTTAAGTTTGTTCATGAATAGTACTGATGTTTCTTTTTCCAGACATGTTTATTCTGCCTCCTGTTAATGGGTAAGATCTAAGAAATAAAACTCAAGTCAGCCCACTTTTCTTTTTGCTAATAATGCTGTGAAAAGTCCTGATACAACACTAGGAAAACTTTTCTGATGAGTTGGATAATGGGTGGCCCCCAAATTTTCCTTGTTTTCACTTTCTCTGTATACACTTAAATATTTTTGAGAGCTCCAAAGAGCCTTTTGTGAGATTATCTACCTAGTTTCTGATTATAAATTCAAACAGAAGTCTTTATAAAAATAAAATATACAAATACACATTTTACTGCCTTCGGAGCAACGCATTCTGACATGCCATACATGGAGCCTCTGGAAAATCCCAGTGTACTACTCATGAGGGTGCCAAGGCAAATAACCTCTTATTTTTACTTAAAGTAGGTTTGGTTTGGTTTTGTCTCCCAGGCCCTCTGAAAAGGTCTTGGGTACCCCAAAGGAATGTTCAGACTATACTTTGAGAACTGCTATCACAGATAATTAAAATATCACATCTTTAATTGCAGTACATTTGCATATATTCAGCTTTCCAAATCCTTATAACAAAATCAGAGTCTATAGGAAAGTGAATTGTATGTGAATATCAACAGGGTAATTCTCTTTTTTGTCTCAAGTTATGGAAATTCTTGAAGCCCAATACTCCATTGGAATCTCGGATTTCTAAGCAGTGGTGTGAAATTGGTTTCCAAGGTGATGATCCTAAAACCGATTTTCGAGGAATGGGACTTCTGGGCCTGTATAATTTGCAGTAAGTAGAAGGAGGAGTAATTATATGTTACAGTGGTGTTCTGGTCTTCTCATTAAAATGTCAAAGTTATTAGTCCCAAAAGTCACTTGCAAGAAAACATTCAAATACTCTGAGAGGAATTCAGGTACATAAAGCTTATACAAGCTACTAGCATCTTCCTTCTTTTAGATTTTATGGATTTTTTTAAGAAAATATCAGATTTTTACAAATTTTATTATGAAAAGTGTCAAGCAGTTGCAAAAAGAGGGGAAGATGGTAAAGAACTCTCCTACTGATTTAGAGATTGTTTAGGTTTTGAAATACTTCCAACACTTTGTTGGGCAAGAGTGTCATTGAAAGTCCTGTACTGCTTATAATTTCATGCCTCCTATTTCAATATGTAGCTCTAAAAAATGTCAGTGTTATCTTACATTAACTACAATGCTACTATGACACCAAAACAAAATTAATAATGATTGCTTAGTGTCATCTATTTCCAGTCCACATTCAAATTTCCCAGTTCTCATAAGAATGCCGTTTACAGCTGGTTGTTCTAATGCAAGTCTATATGAGATTTACACATTGTGCTTAGTTAATATGGCCCTGGGGTCTTTTTAAGTTAGATCAGTCTCTCCCCTTCTGCCTCTCCTTTTGCCTACTTCCTCCTGTCAGCCTTCCTGTAGAAGATTCTAGTCAGTTGTTCTGTAAAATGTGCCAGGAACTGGGTTTGTCTGTTTCCACTTGTTTGCATCCCCTGTATTTCCTGAACATTGGAGACATTTGGAAAGACCTGGGGAGATTCAGGTTGACAACACTGCTCTCAGTCTTAACGCTGAGATGAGTCAGAGGGATCAGAACCTGGTGGCTCCATTGTGAAGTCCTTGATAGGCTTTCTTCCTTCCATGATCTTCCCAAAACTAATTAATTCACTGTGCAAAAAGTGCTTTTTAAAAATAAGTAAAGATTTATTTATTTATTTGAAAGTCAGAGTTAGAGAGAGAGAGGAGAGAGAGAAGGAGAAAGAGAGAGAGAAATTCTTCCATCTGCTGGTTCACTCCCCAAATGGCCACAACATCCAAGGCTGGGCCAGACCAAGCCAGGAGTCAGGAGCTTCATCCAGGCCTCCCACATGAATGCAGGGGCCCAAGCACTTGGGCCATCCTCTGATGCTATCCCAGGTGCATTAGCAGAACGCTGGAAGGGAAGTGGAGCGGCAGCACCTCAAACCTGCACTTGTGCTGCTGCCACAAGAAAAAATGCTTTTATAATTCTGTTATTCTTTCCATGAATTTTGGCTGGAATTCTGTAAACTGTTTCCTTTGTCAACTATAGTAATTTGTTTTCTGTAAAGTACAGGAAGGACAGATGCTCAGTTTTTCTATCTGGTTACCGGTTCTCAGGAGTAAGAAGTTGGGGTCCTAGTTCCCATGCTAGTGATCATAAACCTTTTATTTATTTATTTTTGTTTTATCTCTCTATTTTTCAAATTCTGTCAACTTCTGTGTTTTCGCATGTGTGACTCAACTAATTGTACTTTTTTTTCACACTCAAATTCAATCATTTGAAAAAAAAAATTTTTTTTGAGCCAAAGAGAATCTTTGTTCTTATGTCCTTTGACAATATCTTGTTGGTTTTTAAAAGAAATGAAACCTTACTGATTTTGGGTGGCACCCTATCTTCCCCCTAGATCTTTCCCTTTATTTTAAACATAATCACACTTTATTTTATAAAATGTTTTAAATGTTATGATATCATGTGATATGAATGAATAGAAAGTCAAATTGATGACAAAGGTGGTGTTACAAATAAGTGGATAATGGCTGAGCTTTTAAATAACTGAAACTGGGACAACTGGCCTTCCATTTAGAAAAAAAGAAATAGAATTAAATGTCTTCCTCACTGTAATTCCCAAGCTAAGAGTCAAACGCATTCCTCCCAACTTTGAGGGACAAATCTTTTTTTAAAAGAGATTTATTTATTTACTTGAAAGAGTTTCAGAGAGAGACGGAGAAGGGGAAAGAAGGAGATCGATCTTCCATCTACTGGTTCACTCCCCAGATGGCCACAACAGCCAGGCCAAAGCCAGGAGTTTCTTCCAGGGCTCCCATATGGATGGCAGGGGCCCAAAAACTTGGGCCATTTTCCACTGCTTTCCTAGGCACATTAGCAGAGAGCTGGATCAGAAGTGGAGCGGTAGCACCTTGAACCGGCACCCATATGGGCTGCCAGAGTCACAGGCAGCGGCTTTATCCACTGTGCCACAATGCTGGACCTTAGGAGAAAATCTTTAAGATATCTGAGTAAGGATCTCTTAAAGATACAGACAAATAACAAACAACAACAACAAAAACCACCTTCTACTGAAAAAGAAGAATCAATAAATTTCACACCTTAAAATTAAAAACTTTTATAAGATAAACCACCATTAACACAGGGAAATGAGACAAGACTGACACTGACTGAACTATAACAGATCCATAGCCAGGATATTATTTCATGTAGGGTTAGTTGTCTTATTTATTAAAGGATGTTTTTAGATACGCTGGACCAAAAAATATGAAAGGCATAAAAGAGGAAACAAGATAAGACAAAAGTATGAAATGAGACCCAATTACATTAATAATCATGGTCTGTATTGGAATTGCTTACTCTGGTTTGAAATTTTCTCAGTGGAAACTGAAGAGCTTGATTTACCCATTGGATTTATGCAGGAAATATATACACATCACATTAAAGAATACATACATGGTTTTTTTAAGATTTACTTTATGTATTTGCAAGGCAGAGTACACAGGCAATGGGAGAGAGAGAGATCTTCCATCTGCTGGTTCACTCCTCAGATGGCTGTAATGGCTGGAGCTGGGGCAGGCCAGAGCTGGGAGCCTGGAATTCCATCCTATTCTCCAACTTGGGTCATCCTCCCCTGCTTTCCCAGGCACATTAGAAGGGAGCTGGTTTGGAAGTTGAGCAGCCAGGACTTGAATTGGCACTCCAGTGTGGGATGCCAGCATTGCAGGTGGCAGCTTAACCCACTGTACCACAACACTGGCCCTAGTGCAATAGTTTTATAATGCTCTCTTTGAAGCCCTTTTTATGACTGTTTTTGAAGGCACGCAGCTTTGTACATTTGTGATAGGAAACTTCATTGCCTCTTTCCCATCAGAACAGAGTTGTATGTTTTTTTTAACTTCTCTAAGCTCTATATTTTCCATTCACCTAGAATTCAAATGCTCGATGAATATCCCCCAAGAAAAATACATCTTAAATGTGTCTTCCTCACCTACTGGAGTCTGTTTTATCTCTGCCCTTGGGCTGTCCTAGCCCCTCACCTTGACTGTTCTCTGGGCTTCCACCTTTTGGGGATTCTCAAATGCTGAGCTATTCAACTCCCTTATCTATAGTCATCTGGTTTTTATTTAAAATGTATTTGTTTATTTATTTGAAAGGCAGAATGACAGAAAGAGAGAGCAATCTTCTATTCACTGGTTCTAGTTCACTCCCCAAATACTCACAGTAGCTGGGGCTGGACCAAGCTGACATCATGATGGAGCCAGGAACTCCATCCAGATTTCCCACAAGGGTGACAGAAATGCAAGTCCGTGAACCATCGTCAGCTGTCTCCCAGAGTGTTCAGTAGCAGGAAGCTGGTTTGGAAGTGGACCCAGAACTCCATCCCAGACACTCAGATATGGGACGTGGGCTTCCCAAAGCAGCAGCTTGGCAAAGTACATAATTATGTTCCCAAATCCACTGGATGCATTCCTAAGTCTATGTGGGTTGTGAAACTACACTGCCACATCATTATATTTGGAAAATTTGAATATGAAAATCTTTTTCTGGAAGAGCTGAAGCAGGTGAATATCTTCTGACAGTATCCATCTCTAAATCCAAAATGGCCTCAAATTGGGCGAAAGTGGATCTGTTCTTCAGGGGTGGAGTCATGGCTTGCTTTCTCTCCATCTGCAGGTATTTTGCAGAACGGGATGCAGCAGCAGCTCAGCAGGTCCTCTCTGACTCTCTCCATCCAAAATGCAGGTAATTGTTGAACAGGAAAGATTGGTTAGACTTGATGGATTCAGTAAAATTAACTTCTTCTCTTACGTGGGTCTGTTGCTGAGAGCCTTAGGAGGGTCATCCCACCATAAGTGAGGCTTAAAACTCTTTCAAACAAGCCCTTTTGACAAATGCCAAGAGAAGAGTTAGAACTTCAGGTACTTGTTCCAAGATTCGGGATGTAAAGTGGCACCGTTCACGTGAGATGTGAATTTAATGGCACTGCCAATGTCACTAGTGTCCAGGAAGGTGAAGAAGTAGGGTTGGAAGAAGGGAAGCTGTGGGACAGAGTTCAGAGACCAGCGAGAGTGATGGAGGGATAGAGGCAGAGTGGAAGTCAGGGACTAACTGAGGTCTGGAATTGTCAAGGCGGCTTTTGTTTTTGTTCAGTTTTGGTTTTTTGGTAAAAATCTAGATTCTACATTATTTACATTTTCATTTACCTTTCTGAATTTTTTTTCTTTGACTACATGAAGGGATATCACTAAAGAGGAAATAAGGTATTTTTTTCTTTGCTTTTGTGTGTTATTACTTTAATTTTACTGTAGACTAAGTCTGGGTAAGAAATATAATTTCATGAAAAATATTCAAAAAGGAAACATTTCCCAACTTTTTATCTAATATGGTTAATGATTGGTGGCTGTGTCTTAGTGAAACAGATTATATTAACCTGATGGAAAATATGAGAGCCTTTCTACAGCCATGACCATAACCTGACTGGAGGAACATTTTTTTATTTGCTGCATTTTTTTGTAATTTTATTTAAGTTATACAATTTTCATGTATTTCATGTACACAGATTTAGGAACACAGTGATGCTTCCCACCCCACCCTCCCTCCTGCCCATGCTCCAACCCTTCCTCCTCCCTCTCCCATTCCCACTGTTCATTTTTACAAAGATCTATTTTCAGTTTACTTACTGATCATAATGATTACTACACTAAGTAAAAGTTCAACAGACAGTATGAAGAAATAAGCCACTTCTGGAGGAACATTTTGAAAACTTCACCTAAAGCTTCTCCACACACCTGTGACTCCCCCACCCCCAGAGGGACATTTTATGTGGGAATATTGTTGTGCAGAGTAATTTTCTCTTTAATTAATATTTCTAATATTATTATAAATAGTAGTTATGAGTGCTTATGCATGTTAGTCACATTTCATATAAGGAATTCCAATACTTTGTAATCAATATTTTGCATGTTTAGTTGCTAGTGTTCATCTTTGCTCAATAAATCCAAAATTTTATAACATTCTCAGAATTCAGGAGTAGGTTGACTTGGGTTTTTTCTACACCTTACTGTTTCGCTCATTCTAGCTTCAGTTGGCTAAAGTGCATTAAATTACATTACATTTCCCAAATTTGTAATATTTAATAAGATTAAAACACATTTTTTGGCATTCATTTTAAGAAAAACACTAAAACCACTAAGCTCTTTCTTTATATGTTACATGGCTATAATCAAGCTATTTTAATTTTTAACTACATTTTCTAAACAGCTTTTGTCTGTCATATGGAGACTCTGAACCCCCTCAGGTTAAATGGACTTAGGAGTCTGTGAGTACACTCAGGTGGAATGTCCTGGAGGAACATCAGGTGGAAAAAATGAATCCTTCAGGATCTTTTAAAAGTCGCAAGGAGCTTGAAGTATCTTTTGATTAACCATTGAAGGGGGCTTAATGTTGTCTATGAGCCATTCTCCAAAAAAGCTTTACAGTTCTGTCTCCTGTGAAAGGCATCAGAGAGCAAGTACTCCAGGGTTTGTATAGCTACTCTTAAGAAACTGACATTTGTGAGTGTGCTGTGTTGTGTGTGTGCATATAGATATAATTATTGTGCTTTATCTCTCAAGCTACAATGAAATTGAATAGATGAAACTCACATATGAATAACTTAAAGTTGGTAGAAAATGTCCCTGGAAACAAATCAGAATGCTTTGAAAGTGCCACTGCTGTTCTTTACCAATGTCTGAATAAGCATATTTTATTAATTATAATGTCAACTACATGAAAGAAGTGTATTACCAATTATGGTGTCAACATCAGTCTTATGTAAAAGAAGTACATATCACCAGTTATCATGTCAAAATAGTTACTGGTAGGGCCTGAATATTCCAGGTGTTGAACAGGGAGATGTCAATAAACACTAAAGAAAGCTCATTCCTGTCTGTCCTTCAGCAAGCGTGGTACACCACTGCTCTTGGACACATCCGTCCGTTGAGTCCTGAAGCAACTTGAAGGGTGAAAGTGGATTCAAGTTCAAGAGCAGAGTTTTGACTTGTGTGTGTGTGTGTGTGTGGTATGTTTTCATCTGTTTGAGCCAGGATATCCTATAAGTAACCAAATGAGTGCAGGTCATTTGGGCTTTTATATTTCCATTGCTGATACAGATTTAACTTAGCAAACTCTAGAGATAATGTATGTTTATAAAACTTTGCTGAAGAGAAAATAGCTGGTTATAAATTTTTATACAAAAAACTTCAATTTCACACAGAACTCATTTTTGTTTGGGTATGAGTCTTTTAAGGTAAAAATATTCTGATGTCTCTGGCTGTTTGGTTTATAAGTTAGAATTATACTTTAAAAACAGGTGTCACATTTGAACATGACTTCCAAGTAGCTCCTTTATAGCCACTTGTTTACAGAATAGGAACTACACATAGTTAAATATTAGTGTTGCATGATGTCTTTGTGGTTGTGTGTATTGTGTATCTGATGTTTGTCATGTAGAGAGCTCTCTCCTGCTTAGATGGAGGCTAAGTGTCCATAATAGCTCCAGTCTTAAGTTTTTATTTAGCTCAAATGCTAACTGTAGTTTTTAGTGTAAACCACTGAATAAAGTTTACAGGAGTCGCAGATAAAGAATAGAACATGGTTTCTGCCTGCTGCGAGACATCAGCAGTGTGGAGGGGAATGCAGATGGGGCAGAGAGGTCAGTCTGCAAAGTAACAGAGGTGAGGCATTGTTTTCAGAATGCTTTGTGACAGGACCCTTTTCTTCACATAGTCCTATTCAGAAGCTCAGGTTATAAAACAGATTAAAATGGGGCTGCTATGGCTTAGCTGACTCAGCTCATCCAGAGAAAATGCTGCAACACTTATTGGAACAGAATTTTTAAAAACTAGACTGTACATCTTCCCTCTCTTCCTTCCTCCTTCCTTCCCTCCTGCCTTCCACTAACCCAATCATTTATTTAGCAATAAACGTTTATTTAACATATGTGAATCAGGCATCACATATAAGGCTAAGTAGGATAAACAGCATGAGATAAAACATAACAAAATTCAGTGGGGAACCATGAGACTGTGAAATAACATCTCATCAGAGGAAAGACAAAAGCCAGGCAAAGTTTCACAATGGAATTGCTGTTTGGTAATTGATGATAGTGTAGAAGCATATGTTCATGTTTGGCCTTTAGCACTGTCTCCCACTGTGGTACTGAAGTGGATGGGGGTAAATAACTTGGCCTTAAATAATTCCAATTTTGAGCGCCATATAAATTATATTTTGACTTTTAAGATTATTAAATTTAAATTTATTAGTGTTGGATATCCAAGGTGTGGACATCTTTCCATATGGTTAGTGATTTTAACATAAGCATTAAAAGGGAGAAAGTACCAATTAGAGAATAAATATTATGTACTCATTCATTCATTCATTCATTCAGCAAATTCAGCAAAGCAGAATGGGAGAAGAAAAGGATGGATAAAGCAATTGGGTGAGTGTGAGATTTTGTATATAAAGATTGTCAGTCTGACCAGAGCCAGGACAAAAATACCCTACGAGTACTGGGGGAAAGATGATAAGGATGAAATTGTATTTGTCATGATGGAATATATTATCCCATTCAGTATTTAAAGGGATGCTGCTCTATGTTTTTGTCTCGTTTAGTAGGTTTTACTTAACAGATTTCTATCAGTGTTGGGCCTTTAGGTAAAACCTTACTTTAGATATTTTTATTATAACATCTATTTTTTCCAAAAATATTTATGAGCAGGAAACTCATTTTTTTTTTCTGTGCTAGGTTTATGTTAGCAGAGAGGATTTAAGTACTTCCTTCCTTTTGATTTTTTTTTTTTTTTTTTTTTTTTTAGACAGGCAGAGTGGACAGTGAGAGAGAAAGACAGAGAGAAAGGTCTTCCTTTTGCCGTTGGTTCACCCTCCAATGGCCGCCATGGCCGGCATGCTGCAGCCGGCGCGCCGCGCTGATCCGATGGCAGGAGCCAGGTGCTTTTTCTGGTCTCCCATACGGGTGCAGGGCCCAAGCACTTGGGCCATCCTCCACTGCACTCCCTGGCCACAGCAGAGAGCTGGCCTGGAAGAGGGGCAACTGGGACAGAATCCGGTGCCCCGACCGGGACTAGAACCTGTTGTGCCGGCGCCGCAAAGCAGAGGATTAGCCTATTGAGCCACGGCGCCACCCTTGATTTTTAATAGATACAAAAAAAAGGGATTGGGAAATATACTCTATGTTAAGATACTTCTTAAATTTTTTTCTCATTTTAAAAGTAATATACAGCTTCTTACAGAAAATAAATGAAACTCATTCCCATTGTATTAATCTAATATATCCATATTAATAGCTTGTGACATTTCATCCTATTCCTTATATACTAAAACTTGGCTTGCTTTGTTCATGTGTATTATATCCTACATAGATAACCCCTAGACTATAGTTTTAATCAGCTATCACATGTTATAAGAGATCACCCTGATTTATTTCTCTGATCATCTTTTTTTACAATGTTTGAATGATTTCTGTTTCCTTGCCATTATAAACAATGCTGTAAAGAATATCTTGTATATAAAGCTTTGAATTTTTTCCTATCATGTATTTGAGAATAGAATTACCAAGTCAAAGCATATAAGCTCTCAGTTCTCATGGTACACACTACCAAAATTTTCTGGACAATTTACAAAAGTCAAGATTTTGATAGGGTAGAAGGGGAAGGGCAACTGCCACTCTGATAATTTGATAGGAATGTAAAAATCCATGCTATCATTTTTGAAGTGCTTATCTCCCATTTGTAACACACTGTTGGTTTTGTGCTTTGCACTTTACAGGTACTCATTTGCAATCGTGGGCATCAACATAACAGACCTGGCGTACAATCTACTGATCAGTGGAGCTCTGAAAACCCATTTCTATAACATTGCCCCAGAGGCTCCAACATTGTCTCACTTCCAACAAACATTCTGTAAGTGTCTTTTTCTGTAATTATCAATACAGTTTTTTTTTTTTTTATAGAACATTCCAGGCAAGGATTGAACTTGAGTTCTTAGTCATTTGGCTGTTTGGGACCTTCAAACTTCTTCCTTTGGTTTTGATTTTTGTTTGTTTTCTCATTAAGGGGAAAAAAAAAAAACTGCACTTACTGTTATCAGGGGTCATGGTTTTTTCTTTTTCCAAGCTCTTGCATAATATCAAGTGTGGTCTGACTTAACGACATCATGGATGCCTATCTCCCTCTGATCTGGCATATATAATCCTTACAAACACAGATATATTTTAAAAGATCCATGAAATGTGCTGGCCCTAAGACAGCCTGAGTTGACTCTCAGATCTATGTTTTAGCAGAAATGAAGTCTCTGAGATTAGAAGATAAGGTAGAGAAAGTTCTCCCAGAAAGTAGAACAAAAAGGCAAATATGAAAAATAGAAAACAAAGGTTGAACAATCAAAGGACCATTCCAGGAAACCTTATATCTGAAGAATAGGAATGCCTGAAAATGAGAAAACGTAGGGGAGGACATCAAAGAATAAATCAAGAAAAAAGATGTCAGAACTGAAGGATTACTTTTCTTTTTTAAAATATGCTCCAGGGGGCCGGCGCTGCGGTACAATGGGTTGATCCTCCGCCTGCGGTGCCAGCGTCCCATATGGGCACTGGTTCTAGTCCTGGCTGCTCCACTTCCAATCCAGCTCTCTGCTATGGCCTGGGGAGGGTAGTGGAGGATGGCCCAAGTCCTTGGTCCCCTGCACCCACATGGGAGACCAGGAGGAGGCACCTGGCTCCTGGCTTCAGATCGGTGCAGCTCCGGCCATTGCGGCCATTTGGGGATGAACCAGCGGAGGGAGGACCTTTCTCTCTGTCTTACCACCTCACTGTCTGTAACTCTACCTATCAAAAAAATAAAATCTTTTAAAAATAAAATAAAATAAAATAAAAAAGTATGCTGCGGGCCGGCGCCGCGGCTCACTAGGCTAATCCTCCGCCTAGCAGCGCCGGCACACCGGGTTCTAGTCCCGGTCCGGGCGCCGGATTCTGTCCCGGTTGCCCCTCTTCCAGGCCAGCTCTCTGCTGTGGCCAGGGAGTGCAGTGGAGGATGGCCCAGGTGCTTGGGCCCTGCACCCCATGGGAGACCAGGAAAAGCACCTGGCTCCTGGCTCCTGCCATCGGATCAGCGCGGTGCGCCGGCCGCAGCGCGCCGGCCGCGGCGGCCATTGGAGGGTGAACCAATGGCAAAGGAAAACCTTTCTCTCTGTCTCTCTCTCTCACTGTCCACTCTGCCTGTCAAAAAATAAAAAAATAAATAAATAAAAAATAAATAAAAAAAAATAAAAAATAAAAAAGTATGCTGCAACAAAATAGATGAAAATAGACCCACACTAGGTCCATATCATTGTGAGATTCTGTGACACTGGGAACAGAAAATCCTCAAGATATCCAAAGCTGCATCATAAAGAATTGGGAATCAAGATAATATTGGACTTCTCCACAGCAACACTCTATTCTAGAAAACAGTAGGATAATGTCTTCAGAAATGTAAGATAATAGTAAAGAAAAACCTAAGGTAATAGGATTTCCTTCTTAGAATTCTGTACCACATCTAACTTTTCATTTAAGTATGAGAAAAGAATAAAGACATTTTTTAAAAAAAGCAAGCTCTTAAGCATTTACCTCCCTGCACCTTTCTCAGGAAGCTCCTGAAGGATCTGTTTCCATAAGTCATTCTAAAAGGAATAACGGGATTCAGAAAAGAGGAAATATATCCCAGGAAAGAAGCATCGGGAAAGCCCAAGAGAATATCTGAGCAATAGGCTGCAAACAATCAGGCTAGATTTCAGCAGACCTGAGGTCCAAAAAGAGACTCTTCGAAGAGTGTGAAGTGATAGAGTGTCTACCATGGTTGAACATCTTAAGAGGACATTGACATACTTAGGGGATAGTTAAAGTTAAATGAATTAGAAAATTAAAGTAAATAAAGAAGGCCAGTAAAGAAAAGAATCGGTCAAGAAACCTTGTGTCTAGGATAGGTGAAAGGGAACTAAATCTTCATCTATAAAGAGAAGTAAAAAAAAAAAAATAAAGCAGTTGAAAACACGTTATTTAGAGCTATGAAGATCAATAATCAAAATAACCAGCCGAAGGAGTTGAAATGCTGCTTTGGAGAAGCAGGAATTGGATCTGGAGATGCTGTTATTTGTTTTGTTTTGTTTTGTTGTTTTTGATTTTTTGTTTTTGTTTCTGTAACAAAAATTGTTAAGCTGTTTGAACTGTATGACCTAGTTAAAAATAAAAAATCCAGAAAACTGTGTATGGGCATTCTAATGGAAGGTTCTCGAGCTCTGAAGGGGCTTAAGCTACAGATTTGGGGTTGCTCAGCACTGAGGAGAAAATCAGAGTCACACAGTAGAGGAGTTCATCCAGGAATCAAAGGTAAAAGCCTGAAGCATTGACATGGAAGGGGAGAAATGTCTGTTTTGTTTGGGGTCATATCCTCGGCACTGAGCCTGATTCAGACCAGGTGCTCGGTGACTATTGGATGGATAGGTGGATGGATGGGAGGATGGGAGGATGGGTGGATGGGAGGATGGGTGGTTGGAAGGATGGATGGATGAACTGGAGGCCAAATGGATGATGTTCTTTGCAGGGGGAAGAGGAGTCTAGTTTCACTGGAAAAATTGAGACTTGGCCTAAATTGATAAGCTTCCAAAAGAATTCTAGCCCTGATGAATAAGCATGCAATAGGATTACTTATTTCCCAAGACTCTCAACACGTTTTGAAACTAGCAGCAATCCCCCAGTGAGTTGTGTCATAGGCAGAGGGACTCAGATATCTCTAGGGGAAGCAAATTGTGCCCTAGATTCACTATTCTGCCATTTAGTGTGATCAGTCCTGCACGTCTCCTCTGTAATATTCTTGCAATTACCTGTGTCCTTGCAAATGTCTCTGCTCCCTACTAACAGAATGCAATGAAGTAAAACCAAAACACATTTGCAGCAGCAAATGGGCTGCAGGCTTGAGTTGAAAAGCCAAATTAGTATTCCAAACAAGTATTTCATCTAGGTGGAAGAATATAAGAATGCAGTAGCTCTATCACTGTGATTTTACAGTGTTATTCATTGAACACTGAGCTGCCAAGACAGTATGTTAGAAAAATCACGTTCAATCTAAAGCTCTGTTGAACACACAGGCACATTGAAATGAAGTCAGGTTAGGTGTAGTGAGCAGAAGGCAAGTACAATGGTCAGGAAAGGAAAAGGAATTATCTTTTCTTTGACCTTCAAAAGAAGAAATTATTCAGTAAGATTAAGCACCGGAGGAGCAGAATGCACCGAATAAAGGCGCTTGTCGCAATTGGTGAAATGTCAGCAGGTTTCAGGTCCGGCTTCCAGCTTCCAGCTGTAATTGTGTAATTGTGCAGCATTCAAGCATCTTGCCTAAGCTCAACATCCTCCTCTGTAGTGGAGACAGAATATCTGCATTGCATACCCCCACAGATATAAGAATTAAATGAGAGACTATAAGCAATACCCTGGCCTGTTTTCTCCCTCTCCTTTAGCTTCCTTAGCTAATACATCCTCAGCTGAGGTTGCAAGCCTGCCTCCCTCTCCCTGAGGGTCCAAGAACTGAGGAGGCCAGGAGCTCCACCTGCTTCTGGAACTCAGTACCTAACACTGTCTCTGTTATAGATTTGTTAATTGGCAGGTAGTGAGTCAGTTAACCAACTGACCAAATGAATTTTTGAATTCTCTGTAATTTTATATAAATGAATGGAGTCTTATGATTGTAATATGTTCCTTGGAAGCCAAGCCACCATTTCTATTTCAGTTATGAAGATTGTGTTATTTTGTCTCTAATTATTTTACTGATGGTGCTGAGGAAAAGTCCCAGGGAATCAGTCTGCAATCTTTCAAGTTTGGCTTTTGTATTTTAAGGAAGGATCCTGAGAAAGGGGCAGAAAACAGACCACCTTCCCGTCAACGCTTACCATAGCCCATTGTTAGAGATGTTCTTCTTTAATTCCATGTAGGAAAGAATAATGGAGAAATTGAATGGATGTGCATTCTGCTAGAGACTGCACTACACGACATCACATTTAGAGTGAGTTGCCAATATCCCTGCACTTTGCGGAAAAGTGAATTCTTCATTACAGATTGTTCACAGAGCCTTTTATCATTGTCAGTAGGAGTAGAGAGCTGTCGCTCTTGGAGTACTAATGACATCATCATGGCTGATTTTAAGTAATAATACTAGAAACCTGACTTTCCTTCCAGAATAGCTCAAGTATGTTTATGTGAGCTTAGAAACCAATCAAGAAAGTTATGTATGTATTTTACATAGTAAGGAAATAAGAAATTATAAATTTTCATAAATTTCTTTTAGAACTACAAAAACTATAATATTTATAGGGAAGCCAAGGGCACCTAAAAAGATAGGATATTGTATGAGTTTGTCCAATCACCAAAATCAGATTATTTAATTCTTTTGCTGAAATAAGATACCAGCTTCAGAGGAAATGGGTTTCTGTCATTATATACTAAACAACAAAGGTGACAACAGACTCCAAATCATGGCTGGTGAGAAATGAGGATGCTTCACCTAGAAAAGAGATAAACGTGGGGCATAAAGAACACTTCACATAGTTGGGCTGTAGAAAGACTGGGTTTTTTCCACACTCAGCTTTTGGCTGAGTGTGAAGAACCTTTTAAGTGTCAGCTGAGATCCCGTGGCCTCTCTTCTCTCTGTGTAACTCTTTCAAATAAATAAATAAAATCTTTTAAAAAAAAAAAAGAAGAAGAAGAAGCAGCATGTTGAAAGTATCCCTAAGCATAGCTAGTTACCAGAAAAAAAAAAAAAGATTCTTTTTTTTTTTTTCCCCAGTAGAACACTGATTGTCTTTGTTCCAAAGTCTTTTCCTGGGGCCCCCATCATCTCCGCTGCTCATTTTTCTCCATTTTTGTTTACACACAGAGGAGGAAGCACAAGGATTCAATCCAGGTTTCTGCCTCTGGAGTCCTGACTCCCATTTGCTACCACCTTCTTACATGAAGACAAAACCTTGCATAATCTTCATTTTTCTTTTTTTAAAATTAAGATTCTTTCCTTACTTTTGCTAATATATAAAGACATCTGAACTTTCAATGGATTTACTGCATTCACATACCTAGTACTATCCTTTTTAAAAAGTCGTATTTCAGTTTTAAATGTGGTTTAAAAAGAATGGCAGTAGAAGGAGGAAACACGGTGGGGAACAGATGTAATGAGTAGGTTCTTCAGTCGAATTCTAACATTTATTCCCCAAATCTCCCCAGTCCAAATCATTCCTAGGAAACATTTTTGAGATGCAAATGTATTTGACTATAAAACTATGCTTCAGAGCAAGGAAGTCTTATTAACAATTTCATAGAGTTTAAGGACCAGTCTGTGTTGTTCAGAGTTAATTTACAATCCTTACTGTCTCATAATAGATTGTCAGAATGCATTTGTTTGATTTGTCAGGGTAATTTAAAACTTTGAACCGAATATCAAGAGAAAAAAGGCGGAACAAAGTAATTTTGAAAAATCAGACCATTATGTTAATTCAATTAGGAGGCAGAGGATGAAGTGGCCTTGCGAATACATTTCTGATGTGATTCATGTTCACGAGATGGCAGAATTGATTTGTCTTCCTTCTTCCTGGAATCAAGAATCATTTCAGAACCAGTTTCAAAAATCGTTCCTATTGGTAGCTTCTCCTGTGCTGGTATTCAGAATCATTGCAAGCAGTCGTATTTGCTGACTGTTGATGTCTTCTGTGAACCCGTGTTTACTGTTGTTTTGCTCTAGCCTCTCCTTCAGCATTCAGGATGATTTTGAATGTGTTAAGATCTTTCTTCCCCCACGTTCTTATCACAACCTTATTCCAACAGGCTATTTGATGCACGAGTTTCATAAATTTTGGATTGAAGAGGACCCCATGGACATAATGGAATTCAATCGTGTGCGGGAGAAATTCCGCAAGAGGATCGTAAAACAGCTGCAAAACCCAGACATGGCACTCTGCCCACATTTTGCTGCCTCGGAAGGTTTAATCAACATGTAGTCGCCCACGCTGGTTTGAATGGATTCCCTGGAACACTGCCTCATTGTCGTGTTAGGTCTCTGCCTAGGTCACAGCTCACACACTGAATGCACACAGTGATTATATGCATGCCTTTTGGTACAGTATTTTCATCTCTTGGTCATAATTCCAAGATCCCCAGATACTACTGTTTCTGGAGTATCCACCCTCCAGTGACTGCTCATATTGTGGCATTATGCAGTGTTACATCTTGCCTTGACACCCAGGTATGGAGAGAGTTTTCTATTTTTTTAGATTGTTTTCCTCTCCCTCATAATTCAGCAATTCACAATTGTTATTTCTCTAGCTGTATTTTGTATGTAATTCATTTAGCTGAATCTTGTTCTGTGAAAGCCTTTTAATTTATTGATAATGTTTCATGACTATTGCTGCTAGCTTTTCAAGCCAGGTTCATGCTTGGACCTCATTCTGATAAAATATAAGTCTTTAAAATAATACAGACAGATACATGATAAACCAAACTGTTAATGCAAACAGCCACGCTTCTCAAAAATGTAATGAGGCTTAGGAGAAGTAACTTTAGGTAGGAGCTGTTTTTGTTTGGAGTGACGCTGAATTATATTGTAACTTACCCCCAGTTGCAATTGTGTCAGTCATCTAGATATCACATTATTTTATTCCCGTAACTTCATGGGTGTGGATGCCTGTTTATGTTTAGGATGCCTAGAGCCTCAGACGTGAAGTCAGCATATATCAAAAGTTGCAAAAGGTTTTTCACCACCTGCCTCTTGCTGAACTCTGAATTACCCCTCTCAGCGCAGTTCAAATCCAGGTTTTTTGCTTGGGGAACTGAGTGCTGACTGGCTTGTTTTCCATGTGAAGGGGCAATGTTAAGAACAATCTGCAAGAATATGTGTCACAAGAGAGAAACCTAAGCTATGTCACTCTAATACTTCTTGAGAATAACGATCTTGTCTTGCATCAGTGGAAGAAGTAAATTGCTTGGAAGAAGAAAAGACAAATCATACTGACACTATTTAAATCATCTTAAAAGATCGTGATTTAGTTTGGAATTATGATTGTAGTCTGTTGAATAGTATTTACCATGGCATTTCATACCCATGGTATTTTATACTTTCTGACTATCAATTTTAGTATATATTAGATGTTTGTGGAATCACTTGCTTACTGAAATGAATTTTGAGTACTGCCTAACTGTCGGTTATATGAATAAATAACATGTCATTCTACTGTAACATAGAGTGGATTTCATTTAATATTTTTGTGCTCATATAGTTTCTGAAAATGCAAGTGTGTGAGCGGGTAGAATGTCAAAAACAGACAACCTGGCGCTGAGTGTAAATTGCGCCATCATCTACAGTTACCAGGTGCAAGTTAGAATGCATTATGTTTCAGAGACTTGAACTAATCTTAAGGCTTGATGGTGCTTTCATGAAAGAATAAGAACCAACTTTTTATACATAAATTTATTACAAACCTGGTTGGATGCTGCCAGACAGCAGAAAAAAAGGGGAAAAAAAGGTCAACTGCACATTGTTTCCTTGTGCCTGCTGCTTCCTCTGGTTTTGTGCTAGCCCTTGCCTGTGGCAGTGTCCCAAGTGGCCTCATTTTGCCTTGTCTCTGTTACAGCCCTGTGCCCTGTCATAGAACAGGGAAGGGAAGGAGTTGGTTGACACATGGGATGTATCATGAGTGATGACAAGAACATACATTCCTTGCCAGGGTGAGAAATCGTGAGCCTGTCTGAATTCCCCACCACTGCTGCAGCGACTGGAGGTGAGGGTATTATTCCATAGGCAGTACAGCCCTTGTCAGCCACGTGTGTACATTGTCTCTTTCTATCCACTGTGGTCCGTGTCACTGACGTGGTCCGTGACACTGATGGCTTGACAGTATGTGGCACTTACAGCAGCTCACGTCTCTTCTGTTCAGGTAGAGATAGTTGATGTTAACAAAGCGAGGTGTTCCCTCCCAGCTCCTAGAATGCTTTCTTTCTGTTGGATCTTAACTTGGCTGCACAGTTTTAGGAAGAACGAGCTCTGCCACCCCCTTCTAGTTCTGAACGTTATCAGATTTCTCATTCACACCTCTCTGTGGAAGATGCAGTCTGCCCAGTAACACAGTGAGGTGAGAAAAAGAACAGGAGAAGGTTTCACAACCATCAAAAATGTGTGATGTCTGTGTGTGTTTCTCTTGGTTATTTTTAACTTGCTTATGTTTATGCCATCGAACTAGAATTGACCACATAAAATGTAAATTGTGTAGCAAGCTTCCTCAAAATTTTCCAAAACACTATTTGTGATGGTAAAGCACACACACACACACACACATTCTGGTTTGCACTACAGGAAGAAATTCCTTGGAGGCACTATTTCTGAAGCTTGAGACTTCAATCAGACTTCCCTTCTCGAAATTCTTGTTTTTCTACTCTGGTGAAAAAAATGCCTGATAACCCACCATCTTTTCTGCATTTGAAAAGAGGCTTACATATATTCCAATCCCAAGAGGTAAAGCGGTCTTACAATATATCTCCCATTCTAGGACACGTTTGAGACAGAAAAAATTATGTTAACAATTTCTCTCGGACAACAGGGTAATCTGGGACAGTTTGAGGGAACAGAGATATGAGGTGGCAAAGAGACAGACATCAGCAGGGATTGTCTCCTGTAATGCTAGGCAAATACAGCCCAGTGCCTTCACTTCCTAACCTCTGGCAGAAGTACATACGTCATGGAGCCATAGGAAGAAAGTGATGTCTGTCGGTTCTGGGCAATATCTAAAGACCGGGGAGGAATATTCATGCTTCTCACTTACCTTCTGCCATGGTGGCTCCACTCACCTGGGTCCCAGAGTGAGGGCAACTTGAGCCAGACACACCATGGAATGGTAATACAGCCAAAAATTAAATCTTTGTTGTTTTAAGCCAATAAGATACATGATGCTGTTTGTTACAGTAGCACAACTGTGTCCATCCTGACTGATGAAAGTCTCAGTTTCCTCATTTGCTAGATGGTGGTACAAATATAACATCCTTAAGAGGTTGTGGAGTTTAGAAAAGATAATTCATGTTACTTTAAAATTATTCATTGTTCATTTATTTTAGTTAAAAGTTGGGGGGGGGGGGATCTTCCATCTGCTGTTTCATCTACCAAATGTCTAAAAGAGATGGGGCTGAGCTTGACTGATGCCTACAGCCGGAAACTCAATCTAGGTCTCTTATGTGGGTGGCAGGGATTCAAGAATTTGAACTATCTCCTGCTTCCTCCCAGGGTGCACATTAGCAAGAAGCTGGACCAAAAACAGAGGTAGGATTTGATCCCAAGCACTCTCATATGGGATGTATCCCAAGAGGCATGGTTACCACTGCACCTAATGCCTGTCCCAAATGGACATCTTGATATCTAGGATACCACCTACCTCAGATCTTAGAAACCCGTAGAGATGTGTACTTGGTCTGAGCTGAGAATTTCAATTACATAGACTGAGCCAAAGTTGCTGATAGAGAAATAAATCTGGCAATCAAGCTCCATGATGCAAAGTATCTTGATCCATCAGATACAATTTGGTCAAATACAAATTGAATGAGAGTAAGGAGGGGATAGAATGTGGGGACAGGAAATGAGAGATAATGGGGAGAAATGGAAAGGGACAGACAAAAACAAAAGTGTTAGCAAGCATTTCTAGGAAAGAAAAACATGCAAGACTTTGGGCATGCCGACCCTTCAGAAATAAAAGATTCTTTTTGCAGCTGAGGTTCTTATACTCCATGAATCTGACATAGCCTCCAGAATGCTACGTGGTAACAGGAATCTGTCATCTGTTAACATCCCTGGGATGCTTGGCAGAAACCTGACAGGTGGGGTTAGGACAAAGGACAAGGTGACAGCAATCTGTTGAAATTTATTAAGCTATTATTTAAATTTTATTTGGGCCGGCGCCGCGGCTCACTAGGCTAATCCTCCGCCTAGCGGCGCCGGCACACCGGGTTCTAGTCCCGGTCAGGGCGCCGGATTCTGTCCCGGTTGCCCCTCTTCCAGGCCAGCCCTCTGCTGTGGCCAGGGAGTGCAGTGGAGGATGGCCCAGGTGCTTGGGCCCTGCACCCCATGGGAGACCAGGAAAAGCACCTGGCTCCTGGCTCCTGCCATCGGATCAGCGCGGTGCGCCAGCAGCAACGCGCCGGCCGCGGCGGCCATTGGAGGGTGAACCAACGGCAAAAGGAAGACCTTTCTCTCTGTCTCTCTCTCTCACTGTCCACTCTGCCTGTCAAAAAATAAAAAAATAAAAAATAAAAAATAAAAAAATAAAATAAAAAAATAAAAAATAAATAAATTTTATTTGAAGGGGCTGGCGCTGTGGCACAGCGGGTTAATGCCCTGGCGTGAGGCGCCGGCATTCCATATGGATGCCGGTTTGAGACCCGGCTGCTCCTCTTCCCATCCAGCTCTCTGCTGTGGCCTGGGATAGCAGTGGAAGATGGCCCAGGTCCTTGGGCCCCTGCACCCGCATGGGAGACCAGGAGGAAGCTCCCGGCTCCTAGCTTCGGAACGGCACAGTTCCAGCCATCGCAGCCAATTGGGGAGTGAACCAGTGGATGGAAGACCTCTCTCTCTCTCTCTCTCTCTCTGCCTCTCCTCTCTCTGTGTAACTCTGAATTTCAAATAAAAAATAAATAAATCTTTAAAAAAATTTATTTGAAAAGCACAGAGACAGCAAGACAGACCAAGACTTCCTGTCTCCTAGTTCATTCTCCAGATGCGTGCAATAGCCAGGGCAGGGCCAGGATGAAGTCAGGAACCAGGAACTCAATTCATGTCTTCCACATGGGTGGCAGGGACCCAACCACTTGAGCCATCATCTGCTGCCTCCTAGAGTGTGCGTTACTAGGAAATTGGAATTGGGAGCAGAGCTAGAAGTCAAATCCAGACACTCTAATATGGGATGTTGGGATGCAGGCATCCCAAGCTGTACCTTAACTCCTGCACCAAATGCCATCCTATGACCTTTTTGAGAAAAATCTGTATGTATCTTGTACCATGTTTTGCTTTGGGAATCCCCACAGAAGAAAAGTTTCAGGTGAAGGAAAGTGCGACAAAGAGAAGAAAGCTGACATTAAACTTGTAAAGGCACAGTTAACCCCCTCTGCCATGCAAGAGAAGTGGTCCTTTTCTGAGAACCACATACACTACAAAGGCTCAGATGAACTCCACAGCACCACAAGGCATGGGTTTTGAAATAGCTTCCCCGGGGAAATTTATAAAGGCAGGAGCAGCAAGAAAGAGCATATGAGAGTTTCCCGTAGTCCCAAGGCACTCCAGGGCCTGAATGCTGCACCAGATATGAAGTAGGTCAGAGTTCAGGTGGAGAGAACCCCCATTCAATCCCCACCCTCATTCTTTTTCCAGAAAAAGCATGAAAGGCTAAGCAGAGGGGTGATAATCTGGTCAGACTACTTTCCAGCAAGGCAGTATGGTGCTACTTACCAACTGGCTTGGAGCAGAGAGCCCCAGCTGCCCTGTACCTGTGTCTTAGGGTCTGTAAGAAGCTGCCCTAGGGCAGAAATCTGTATTGATAGGGAATGCTTAGAGTTTGGATGCAGCCCCTCTGCTGAGAGAGAAGGAAGACTTCAGTTGCACTTGGTTTGCCCAAGCAGCCCAAAAAGAGATCATGAATTATTTTTTGACAAATTGTCACCTCACATCACTCCCATATATTTATTTCTGGCATATGAACTCTTTTGGACCAAATGTATAGCGATTATAGAGGGATAGGAATATCAAGAGCCTCAAGCTAAATGATGCTAAGAATTACATGAGCCACTTGGGGCCAAGTTTTTACTCTTTCTGCAGAGTAGAGCAGGAAAAAGCTAGCAGTTGGCCGTCTCATGTTCAGTGTATGTGCTGCTGGCCTTCCTTAGATCAATGATGTAACCTTTCTGCTTTGTCTCTTCCCACCCATAACATAAAAATAAGACAGACAGCTCCTCTTCTAAGGATTGTTGTTGAGAGTAAAAATCAAATAACTTTTTTTTAAGAAAGATTTATTTATTTGAAAGTCAGAGTTACAGAGAGGGAGAGATAGAAAGAGAGATCCTTGCTGGCGCCGCGGCTCACTAGGCTAATCCTCTGCCTACGGCGCTGGCATCCCGGGTTCTGGTCCTGGTTAGGGTGCCGGATTCTGTCCTGGCTGCTCCTCTTCCAGGCCAGCTCTCTGCTATGGCCAGGGAGTACAGTGGAGG